GGCACAGCATCTGATAGGGTTGAGGGCGGGGGTACAGCACGCAAGGGGCCGGGAGGATGGGCCAGACCGGGAAGTCCCAGCGTCTGGGAAAGGAGGGCAGAGACAGGTGGTGGGACCCAGGGAGGGCTCAGCGTGTCTGGTGCTTCTCGGGCGAGGTCGCCCTGGCAGCACAGGGAGGCGGGTGTTGGGGTGGCGGTGTGGAGAGGGGAGGACAGCGAGGTATCGGGAATGCAGCTAGGTCAGGACGGGGTCCCGGACAAGGGGGCCAGAGGGGACAGCAGGAGAGGGACTGTAAGGGAGGACGGGGGTTCCTCCAAAGAGCAGGTGGGACCTTGACTTCAGGCCTGAGTCCTGTTCTAGCCTCTGAGCTTGCTGCCAACCGGGGCAGATTGCAAACACAGATGTCCCCACCGAGGGGACGGGACAGCCATGAGCTGGGCCTGTCCCCAGCCTCCGGAGGGCCGAGGGGAAGGAGCTCACTTCTGCCTGCCTCCCTCTGTTTCCCGCATCCCCAGGAGGGTGACAGGAAGGGCCCCTCCTCAATCCTGAGACGAAGCCGGAGGGAGTGCAGCCACCGTGGGGCCGAGCCACAGAGAACCACGAGGCGCGTGCGCTTCCGGGAGCCCCTGGAGGTGGCCGTCCACTGTAAGAGGAGGGGCGGGTGGACCTGGGGCCGGTGGGGCGGGGCGGGGGCACACCAGGTCCACCTAGCAGAGGGCCATCTGCAGGGGTCACAGCCACCTGCCCTGTCTTCTCAGGTGTAACCCGATAAGCCCGGACCTGTGGGGTCGGTGTGGACACAGAATGACGGTCCACGAAACAGCAGCTGGCAGGAGAATTATAACCACAGCCCTCGCTGTGCCTCATAACACATCCCCACAAACTTAGCAGCTTCAGACAGCCCAAGCTGACTATCTCAGCGGTCTCATGGGTCAGGGGTCTGGGCAAAGCTGGTCCTCCGCTCAGGGTCTCACAAGGCAGCCATCAAGGTGTCAGCCAGGGCTGGCCTCTTTGAGGCCCAAGGCCCTATCCCGAGTTCACGGGGCTAGCTACAGAATTCATATCCTCACAGCTGCCCCTTCAAGACCAGCGGCACAGTCTCTCTCTGACCTCAGACGCTTTCTATGAAGCCCTCACCTGGTTAGGCCAGGCCCACGCAAGGTAGCCTCCCTTTGACTGACTCAGTCCACCGTGGGAATTTCCATCCCAGCTGCAGAGCCCCTTCCCCGCTCCGTGTTCCGTGGGGTAGAAGAAAGCCACAGGGCCCCCCACACAGAGGCGAGGACCTGGGGGCATCTTAGACTCTGCTTGCCACAGCCCCCCAGAGACGGTGCTTCCTGAGTCCTGCTGAGTTGCAGATTAACACTGCCCCCGACACATATTAGCGTCTCCCCTGAAGGCCACTGCAACCGTCCCGTCCAGGCCTCCCGCGGAGGTCCTCACCCCAGCTCCTCCCCTGCCCCTCCGGCCTCAGGTCCAGACCTCGCACAACTCAGCACCCACCCCCAACGGCCCCAGAAGCAGAGACTCGGATGAGGAGTCAGGGTCCAGACAGGGACTGGTCCGGGGTCCCCCAGTGAGCTGTGCAGGATGGACCCCTCTGCGAGTGCCAGCCCCTGCTTCCCCGACCCCAGGACCCCCGCAGTCTCCTCCTTCCAGGCTGCTGCAGGGGTACCACACCCCCACTCCCACCGGGCCCCGAGAAGGCTCTGAAAGCAGCACCCAGAGTCTTGGGACTCCACATTCTGGCGGCTGGCATCCGAAGCAGTGAGACCGGCAGAACCCTGGGTGGCGCCTGTCTACTGTCCAGCCAAGGGGTGGGGACAGCCTGACCGGGTCAGAACCCGCAGGAGCTTAGGCCTCCATCTGTAAAGCAGGGCAGCTGTATCTGACACGGCCGTCTTGGGGTCTTTAGGGAGGGCGGGATGAGAGCAGAGGCCTTGGGGGCTTGGCTGGCTGAGCAGCGTGCCCTCTGGGAGGGGAGCCTCCCTGCCCGACCCCACTGTCTCTCTCCTCCCCAGACATCGCAGGCAGGGAGCCCACCGCCGACAACCAGGGTAAGTCACGAGCCCTCGCCCCGCGTCCCCCAGGCCCTCCCCCACGTGCATGCCCAGTGCAGCCCCGGCCCCAAGCTGCCCTCAAAGCCCCACCCCCAGCAGAGCCGCTCAATCAGCTGGGGCCCCTGACGGACGTGGGTGGACAACAGAACCCCTTGGGGTGCCGTCTGCCCCCCTCACTCCTTCCCTGAGGGAGGGCACAGGGCCAGGGCCAGCGGGAGGCCCTTGCTGCAATGAGGCCATTGGCCCAGGCGGGGCAGGGAGGCCCACGGCCGTGGGGGACCTGGGAAGGCATCCCAGGGGCCCTGCCCAGTGGGAAGCACCA